CTGGGCCATCCCGACGTTAGAGCGCCGCGGCTGCGTTTGAACAGTAAAAAGGTGGTTTTGATACTTTGTGTCGCCCGGCCTTGTCTCTCTCTCCTGGGCCGGAGGCCAGGCGTGGGGTGTCCCCGGCCCAGCTCTGCTCTCGGGCTGACTCCCTGTGCCCCCTCCCTGCTGCGGGGCCTGGGGTTGGGTCCCAGTACCCCAGCACAGAGAACGGCGCCCCAGCTGGCCCGCCGCACCCCCAGAAGGAGCTCGGGAGCTCTTCCCCTTCCTCTCCAGCTGCCCCGGCTGTGCTACCCCGATGGCCGGAGATGGCAAGCCCTCTAGGAGACCCTCGTTTTCCTTCTCCCACTGGAGGACCTGCCACCGAAAGTGCGACAGGCAGGAGCCCCCAAGGAGTGGGCGCTGGACAGGCCCTGCCGGGAGGAGGAGGGAGGGAGGAGGGGGGCCGAGGGGGCTCCCTCTCAAGGACCCGCCTCCCCCTCCTCTGCCAGCACTCTGTCACGCCTGCTGCGGAGGCCCTCCAGCTCACGTGGGGCATCTCGGCATGTCCCTGCAGGGAGGCCGAGCCCCACCGACCCACGAGGGCTGAGGCAGCCTGTCGGACACTCACCTGTGGGGCCTTTCCCGTCACTGTTGTCCTGTCTCGGGGCACGTCCGGCTTCCATCGCCTCACCTGCACGAGAGCGTCTTCTCTGTCCGGTGCCGGAGCTGGTGCGGCGGGGATACACGCCAATCCCTCTGGCCTGGCCCCTCCCTGCGTGCGTGGGCCCCGGTCCGGCCCCCAGGCAGCCTATATGAGCCCTATCTGTGTCCCCTCCTCATGGGGCTGGCTTGTCCTGTGACATGACTGGGTGGGGAGAAGGTCTCGTGGCTGTCTAGTCTGTGTGCCTGGGGCGCCCAGTTCTGGGGCTTGAGGTGAGGAGGGCGGTCCTGGTCTCCACCGAGCTCCCAGGCCTGCTTCCTCCCTGTGGGGCTGCCGTGTCCCTGCAGCTCCCCGCGTCTGCCCGCTGTTCGGAGCTACGGGCTGGCCTTCGGATGCGTTCCTAAGTCGGGAGAAGGGCAGGTGGCTGGCCCCCAGGGGAGGGGTTGCCCCTTGAGGGGAGGGGCGGCGGGCACCGGCTCCGCCCCCTCCCTGGGACGGGAGCTGGCTGTTCATGGCCCTCAGCTGGGCTCCCAGGGGTGTGGCCAGGACCACACAGGAGAAGATGGGCCTTTCTATCGAGGCTCTGGCCTCCTCCACCCACCAAAAAAGGTATTTTTGTCTGAAGCAGTTATTAGGAATTGCTCTGGGGCAGTGGCTGTAAATTACTGAACTATGTATTTTGCAAGTAAGGTGTTCAGCAGGTGGGAAGAGGGGATGGTGTCCAGAGAGTGGGGCAGGCAGGGAAGCCAGGAATCCTGTGCAAATGGGCAGAGGTGAGGCTCCTGCCAGGGGCAGGCCTGACTTCCCGGCCTGGGCAGGACTGGCCACCACAACCAGGAGGAGCATCCCAAAGCCCGCTGTGGGCAGGATGGGCAGACACCCTGAGTTTCTGGTGTGGTCCCTTCCCTCGATGGCTGTGGGTTATAGGGGCAGCTGGAGGGGGATCTCTGGTGTCACCCCACCTGGACCCCCTCCCCAAGGCCCACGGAACTCATGCCCTCTGATGGAACCTGCTTCTGACCCACCGTCCTTTCGGGAAACAAGTGACAGCACAGACAAATCCTTGAAGTTCCTGTTGGGTCTGTGCTGGGCAGAACTGTGAACCCAACAGACCCAACAGCCTGCCCTGTGGGGTATGCCCTCTAGCAGGGGGCAGGCCAGGGGGCACTGGCCTTGACCTTTCCGAATTCCTCTACATCCCTTCCTCTCCTTTAGACGGAATTATCTTTCCTTTCTCTGACTTCTCAGGAGGTGTTCTTAGGCTGTCGATGGTTGGCTTTTTCCTTCCAAGCCCATGCAGCAAAGACTGAATTTTCCCCCAAGCAATGTGAGGTCTTGTGGTTTGTTATTCAGAATAATTTCCTAATTTCCATGGTGGTTTCTGTGAACTGTGGGTTGTTTTGCACTGCACTGCTTTTCTTATCTTCTTGGTTTGTGGTTTCTTTAACTTGACTCACCTACGGTCAGAAAACTCGTTCTGTGTCATTTCAACTCTGATTGATTGAGGTTTGCTCTGTGGCCAGCGTGTGGGCAGTTTTGGTAAGGGCTCTGTCTGTGGGGGTATAGAGAAGGAAGTTGTTGGATGCAGACTTGATCTTTATCACTTGGGTTGCGTCCATGCATCATCTTTCTAGTCTCCTGTATCCTTACCGATTCTTTCTTCCTTGCTCTGTCGGTTCCCAAGAGGATTGCTAAAATCTGCCACGGTGCGCCGTGTCCTTCTCATCTAGCTGGCTCATTTTTGCTTTATGAATTCCGAGGCTCCGTTAGCGGGCGCATACACATTTAGAGCTGTGTGTCTTCCGCTAAACTGACCCTTCGTCTTTATGGAACGGCCTTCTTTGTCTGCCAGCACCTCTTGCCCGACGATTCTCCATCTCCTAGTGGTAGCTGCACCGGCTTCTCACTGTGGTGTTTGAGTGGTGGAACTCCGCCACTGGTTTTACTTTCAGGCTCTCCGCGGCATTCCGGTGAAGCTCAGCTTGAAAACAACCGCGGATAATGCGCCAGAACATGGCACGGCCAGGTCTAGACTGCATTGAGTTGTGTTTGGCCCCGTGCAGAGGGATTTCTTCTGCTCTTGGGGGCAGTGAGGGGAAGGATTGGGCTTCCTGAGGCCAGACTCCAGTCTCTGTGAGGACTGGCTTGGTTCCCCTGTCCTCACTCCTTACTTCTAGCCCCTTAGACCCCCAAGCCCAGCCCCTTCCCTTCCTCCTTGGCAGATACCAAACACCCAGGAGGCCACTGGGTGCCCTCTTCAGCTCTCAGCCTCTTGGCCACAGTTACCAACACCTGATGGGGAGCTGGCGACGACATCAGGCTCACCTCTCAAAGCCTTTCTTCCCTGAGATCTCAGATTCCATGTCCTTGACGCTTTTCTTGTTCATAATACAAATAATGAATAAATATCATGGTATACTAGGAGATGGAGAGCACTGTGAGGCAAGATGCCTCCCCTCCCCTACAAAGAGGTGCAGAATGTGTGGCGAGGGCAAGCGCGCTGTGCAGTAGGGTGGGTTAGGACACATTCTTTGGGATGTGACATTTGAAGAAACTTGGAAGGAGACAAGGGAGTTAGTCACGCGGATATAAATCTACAGAGGGGCACGCCAGGCAGGGAGGGCCACGCAAAGGGAGCAGAGGGGGAGCAGTGCCCGAAGCTGAGCCTGGAGGGGAGCAGGACACGTGGGTATCCCGAGGACATGACTTGACAGAGGAGCCTCTAGAGGCGATGCATTTTTTTTTTTTTTTTTAAAGTAAGCTCTGTGCCCACCATGGGGCTTGAACTCACAGCCCTGAGATCAAGAGTCGCCTGCTCTGTCCACTGAGCCAGCCAGGCACCCCAGATCTGACTTCTGTTTTGTTTTTTGTTTTTTTTTTTTAAGATTTTATTTATTTATCTGACAGAGATCACAAGTAGGCAGAGAGGCAGGCAGAGAGAGAGAGAGGGGGAAGCAGGCTCCCCGCCGCCCAGAGAGCCCGATGTGGGGCTCGATCCCAGGACCCTGGGATCATGACCTGAGTTGAAGGCAGAGGCCCTAACCCACTGAGCCACCCAGGCGCCCCTGACTTCTGTTTTTAAAGGACCTCCAGCTGCTGTGTTGAGAACCGATGGTCAGAGGGTGGAGGCAAGGAGGCCAGTCCGGGGACCACGGTGGTCACCCGGGCAAGAGAGGGTGGAGGCCAGGATGGCGGCAGGGAGTGGGGTTCTGGGTGGCTCCTGAGGGTGAAGGTGCTGGGATTCCCGCGAAGGTGGGCGAGGAGAGGAGGGGAAGTGATGTGTGAGTCGGGCTCTTTCCTGCCACAGCCCAGCGAGGGTGCTTGTGAGGGCAGCGCCTTCGCTTCTCAGCTGGTCCAGCTCCCTTGACCCCTCCTTCCTAGAGGCTGCAGAGTCCCGGAGATCAGCTGAAAGAGGAAGCCCACTCCTGCCGCGAATGAAACGGGCCCCTCTGCTTGCCCGTGTGGACATGGGGAACTGGAAAGGGGGCCCAGGGCTGTCCCCGGACCAGTGCCCAGGGTGGAGGGGGAGTGGGGCCAACACTGTGCTGGGGGCCGCAGAGCTCCTGGCCGGATCGGCCCCAGGAATGGCGCAGCACTCCCAGGAAGGCACAGTGGCGGGAACCCACGGAGGGCGAGCGGAGCCCAGCCTCGCGCTGCAAGTTCGAGATGCCTTCTTCACGTGCACTGGGGCGTCAGGAAGCCCAGGCGGGGCGCAGGGGTCAGGAGCACGGGAGAGAGGTGGGCCGCAGCCCACACCTGATACTTAAACCACGGGACGGGAGCCCACGGGGGGTGGGGGGCAACTGCAGGGGCACGGAGGCTTCCGCTGGGGGTGGGAGAAGGCGGGCCGGGGGCGGAGGACTGACCCAGAGCACACGGCCCAGAGCACAGGCCAGGCCCCTTCGGCTGCAGCCTGGGGTCGCAGGTGTCCCCGCTCTGTGTGAACCCTGGGCAGCCTAGCAGAGCTCGCCTGGGGAAGGGGATCCTGCCCGGGTCTAGACACAGAGAGCACTGTGCTGGGAGGGGTGAGAGCTGGCGGTGGAACCCCACCCCTGCAGGTGCCCCCCATGATGTGGGGACTAGGGGGAGACAGGGGCGGGGGGGCAGGGGCTGGAAGCATCTGCCTGCCTGGCCTCCCCTTCCCCGCCCCACACATTCCCCACCCCGGCCCCACCCCCACCCCCCGCTCACACACTGCTGCTAAGAAACACTCGGGCTGAGATGTTCATTTAATGATGCTGTTCTTCCATTTTCCTGGCACGTGCTGTGTCCACCCCTATGGCCTCCTTGGTCGGCCATGCAGATGTCCCATGATGGCCCATGGGGTCCCCTCCCCTGGCCAGGGGCTGGCCGTACACTACTTCTTCTTTGGAACTTTCTCCTTTTTGATCAATTCAGAAAATTCTAGAATAGGAAACAGATTTCTAGTAAATAGTCCCCTTGTCGTGTGTCCCTCAAGCCCTGCAGACCCAATGGGGAGGCATGCCCCACTCTATGAGGGGGCCTCCTGGCATAGAGGACCGTGCATCCTGCCCTCCTGGGCCCTAGGGAGCAGGATCGACCAGAGCTGGGGGCCCCGTGCCCCCCCCAACAGCCCTCTTGGTGGAGATGAGGCAACCCCCTTTGGGGGCTTATGACAGACTGGGTCTCTGTAGTGACCCTCAGGAATTCTTTTCAGAGCTCCTAAGATCATCCTGCCTTTCTCAGTGGGGGAAACTGAGCCACAGAGAGGCTGGGGGGCTGAGTCCCAGGCCATCCCCTGAGCCAGGGCCACCCCAATGCCCTCTGCCTTCTGGCCCAGGGCCAGCAACTGGGGAGGGGGCGCTGTGAGATGACCAGACCCCACTGTCTGGAGCCATGGGGGGCCTCAGTCCCTGGTTCCTATCTTCAAACCTCCCTCCCTACCTCAGACCACTCCCATCTGGGGTGTCTTGGACCCCTGCCCCTGTCCAGCCAAGCCTCCCCATGGCCATCTCAGCCTGCCTCTCCCCCACTGAGCAGCCCGCAGTGGCTTCCCTCCACCCACTCAGCACCCCCAACACTTTCCTGTCCATGGTGGGGGATGGCGCCCAGCGAAGACGTCTGTGAACTTCGTGCCCGGGGTCGGGGAGCCTACACAGTGTTGTGCCCAGATGGGCACTGAACGGTTTTGTGGGGTCCCGGAGGGGCGGGCCAGGAAGGTCCTGCAAGGTCCCGCCAGCCCCGTTGTCTGTGCTGACCCACCTTCGAAGTCAATCCTCCCATCCCCGTCCGTGTCGGCCGCCTGGATCATGGCCTCAGCCTCCTCATCTGTCAGCGGGGCGGTGGGCCCGCTGCTGGGAATGGTGGAGAGGATGTACCTGTGGCGGGGGTGGGCTCAGGTTAGAGCCGAGGGGGTGTCTGCCCAGTGCCAGTGGTTTGCAAGATGCTCACTCCCCATTTTACAAGTAGGGAAACTGAGGCCCAGCTGGAGAGGGGTCTCTGGGCCTGGTGCCGGTGCTAGGGACCTAGACTGTTTTGGCCACCCCCACCTCCCCCAAGGCCAGCTGGGGTCTCCTGAGGGGGGTGCCAGGTCTTCGCTGGGGTGGGCCAGGGCATGGTGGACTGGGCCCCGGGCCTGGGGTCAGAACCCCGATCCCCAGCCATTGGCCATTACTTGATCTCATTCCACTCGATGAAGCCACTCTTGTCCTTGTCCAGGGTCTGGAAGGCCTGGCGGATGGCGCTGTCCAGCTGCCCCGAGGCCTGGAACTTCTGCATGTACTCCAGGAACTTGAGGTAGTTGAAGGAGCCTGGGACAGCCAGGCCCAGGTCACGGGGGCCCGAGGGAGGCTCGTGGCCTGCTCTTCCCCCTCCCCGACCCTGTGTGTCCCTGGGCCGCTCAGCCCAGGGAAGGGGCAGCCCGCAGATGGACTCGGGCCCACGGGCCTGGGGCGGGGAGGCCAGGCTGGCGACGAGGTGTGCATACCGTGATGCCTCATGTCCGTGGGCAGCAGCTCTATGTCCTTGTCCGACAGGGACGTGCCCATAGCCAAGGCCATCTTCTTCATCTGAGAGGAGAAGTCCTCATCCATCCTGGCCCTGTGGTGGACAGGGAGCAGCTTGGAGTGTGCACACGGGTGGGGTGCGGGCGCTCTGCTCAGACCAAAGCAGACAGAGTCCCCGCACGGCACCAGCCCCTGCGTCCTGAGCAGGGTCCCCCATCCCGGGCTGCAGAAGCCCTTGGGGCACGCAGCTGTGCAGAGACTCTGGTGTCCAGGGCCCTGGAGGGAGATGTGCGCAAGAACCCCCTCTTGGCTGGCTGTACGCTCGGAAGGTCACTTCCGTCTCACAGAAAAGGCTGAGGCCCCCAGAGAGCTGGTGACGAGCACGGGGTCCTTTGCTCTGCTTGGAAGCCGTGGTGGCCGCCGTCCGACCCATCCACGCTGCCGGGAACTTCCCTCTGTCCTTGCAGGCCGATCTCGTAGCCACGTCCTCTGGGAGCCCCACCTCCTTCCACCCTGACTCAGGGCCCGCAGCCAGGGACTTGTTCTCCCAGAATCCGGACCGGCCAGACCTGGGCCTCCCAGCTGGCCACTGGCCACCCATGGCGCATTGGCTCGGGATTGAGTGATGCCCGGATGCTCTGAGCCAGGAGGCCACTGCCCCTTCCCCAGCCTCTGCCCACAGGCCCCGTGGACGTGTGCGTGTCACTGTCGGTTCGAGGAGAGCCGGTGGCGAGCAGAGGCCACCGGGGCAGGCCAGGACTCCAGCCAGGCAGGCTCAGGGGCCAGCAGGTGGGGACCAGGCTGTCCTGTGGCCCTCAAGGCGGTGCCTTGTGACCCGCCGGGCTCTCGGGTTGCGGTCCCCGGGGTGGGGTTGTGTTCTGGGGCTTGTGGCAAATCAGCGATTTCAGAAGCTCCTTGGCCCTCTCGAAAGTTCATGGGGTGGCAGAACCTTCTGGAACATGCCCCCATGGCCAGGAAGAGCAGCCCAGTGGCCCGTGCATCCTGAGTGGGGCTGGACAGTGGCCGGGGGAGTTCACTTTCTCCCAAAAGAGAAGCCACAGGTCAGAGGTGGCAGCTCCAACCTGACAGCCCGGGGGTGCAGGGAGTGCTGGGTAGAGGCCCAGGACCGTGACCTCTTTTCTGACTGGCCGTGCCCCACAGCTGTTCTGGGCCTCAGGGTCAGCATCTGTGAAATAGACCCCTGCCCATCGTGCCCCTTCTCAGGGCCGTGGGAGGAGCCAGGAGAGAAGAGAGATCCCGGGGAAAGGGATTTATGTCCTGAAGGGGGCCTGGAGCTGGGTCCCCCGCACATCGTGCCTGAACGGCGGGTCCCGGGAGGCTGGCCTGGGAGGCGGTGTGGGGGTGGTCAACCGCGAGCCAGGGCAGACCTGGGCCATAGAGGCCCCACAGGACAGGGCTTGAGCAGAGCCCCTGTTCGCCCTTCCCATCCCCGAATCTCAGAACTCCATTCTGGAAGCAGGGGCTGCCCCGCCTGCCCCTTGGGCCCGGCCAGAACCAGTGTCCCACGCTCCGTGAAGGAGGGGCTGGGCCACATCCCAGGCCAGATCTGGCTGAAACCGGGGTCGACTTCCTGTCTGCAGAGCACGCCGGGTTCCCTGGGCTGTGTCTGTTCCCACCAGTCCCACCCCACTGCTCTCCGGGGTACCCCCCGCAGGAAGGCAGAGGAGCCTGAGATCAGAGCTGGCGTGGGGACAGGGCCTGGGGCCTCAGTGTGCTGGCCGTTTATTTATAGCCCCAATCCAGGCCCTGGGATGGCGTCTCACTCACCCCTAGAGGTAAGCCGACATGTCCTGCCACAGCCAGGGGTGGGAATGGCAGGCACCACCCCCAGCCAGCCCTGCGGCACCCTGCGGTTCCCTGTGGCCCTCTGCCCGGCCTCCTGGGCTTCTCCCACTTCGTCCTTCGCCTCGGACAGGACCCCTCTCTGCCTCCCAGCTCGCTGCCTTCCACAGCCAAAGCAGGACTGAGCTTGAAAGCCTGGCTAGGACCCCCCACCTGTCCCCAGCATTGCTGTGCCCTGAATGCCCTCCCAAGGCTGCCAGGGACCTCGGCCCACCCCAGACCCCTATGGACCACCTGCGTGGCCCTCCTGGGGGCTGTGTACTGCTCCTCGCCTCTGCCAGTGAGTCATCAACGCTGACATGAGAAAAAATGCTGCATGGGCTGGAGGGTGGGGGTAGGGTCATTGAGCCAGGGCCCCAGCAGTTGGGGCCTGAGTCCCAGGGTGGGCTGGCAGGGGGATGGGGCAGAGACGGGGACCTCATGGGATGGGGACTGGGTCCCAGAGGGTCCTGAGCTGACTTCGTGTGCCTGCCGGAGTTGGTGGGTCTGTTGGCCTTAGGCCCTCTGCCCTGCCAAGCTCCCTGGCCCCCCACTCAGCACCTGGGGCCCTGAGGTCAGTGAGCAGGTCTCAGCCTCCCTCCCCACCCTGCTCCCCAACTCCTAGCACTCTCTCAGGGGCTCATGTAAGCACACACGCACCCTCGTGCTCACCCCGGCAGACCCAGGCACACATGGCTGCCTCTAAGTCTGGGGCTCCCTTGGGGCCGCCCCTCCCTTTCCTGCCTCCCCTGGACCTCCCTGGGGTCTCCTCAGTCCTTTGGGCCTCCGAGTGTCCTATGGATGAGAAGGAGGTCACAGGCTTTGGCCGTGCAGCGTGGGCAGCCCTGGCTGGGCCCAGAGCCCATAACCACCCCTCCCGGGGCAGGGCTCACCTCCGCCTGGCTTCCCTCGAGGGTTCTGAGGAGGCAGGTCGGGCTGGGGGTGCTCAGAGCCTGTGGGGGCCCCCTCTTTTATACCTGTAGCCACCGGGCCTATTTACAGCTTGGCTGCACCTGTCCTCCCACCCCTGCCCCTCCCGGGCACTCCGGCCTGGCACTTGGGGCCCCCAGGGGCTCGCTGGCACTTGGCACATCCACGCTGGGCCGGGCAGACTGACCGCCCGCAGCGCCCGGCCTCCTCCAGCCCAGGGCGGGGGTGGAGAGAGAGGACTGCTCCGGGCAGCAGGAGAAGCTTCTGTCTGCTGATCAGGTACCCCCTGCCCTCTGGCCTTACAGGGTGGCGGGGGTGTGGTGGGCCCAGAGAGGGGCTGGCAGAGGCCTGCCAGGGTCACCCAGGGGGTGCAGGCTGGCCAGCATGTCCAAGAAACCACCAGAAGCCACTGGACAATGGGACCTCCTCCAGCAAGCATCCGGGCCGGGGAGCTGTCCTTCGTCCCTGGGTCACTGTGGGGGCCAGAGAGCCGTGCCAGGGCCGGCCATAAAGGTGAGGGGAGAGGAGGGAAGCCCGTGAGGCCACGCTGACCTCTGCAGTCAGGGAGCAGCACTGTGTGACCTCAGCCAGGGCTGGCCTCTCTGCTGGGAAGGGACCTCGCAGGACAGTCGCCAGGCAGAGAACGGGGAGACAGAGACGGACGCACCTTGAGAGCCCCTCCTGGCTCTGGGCTGGCTGGAGGCCCCTCACGTCCACTGATCTTCACGCACGGAGCCATGCTCCAGCACCAGCGCGGAGACCCCGGGGCGCAGCCCTTCCCAGCACCCGACCACTGCTTTCTCTGTGCGGGTTTCCCCAGTCGTTTTGCACAGTGTGGACGCGGCCCTGAGGCCTGCCTTCCCCGTGGGAGAGTCGCTCACACATCACTGGGAAATTCACAGAACGTTCTGGGTGCTACGTTGTGTCGCAGCTTCGTGTGAGGTCCCTGAGCTGCGGACGGCCAGAAACGTCCGACGGCCATCTGCGGTGGAGTCCGAACAGATCCCAGCGTTTTGCCTGTAGAGATGCTATTTCAGTGTGTGTCTCCGTCCAGGGGAACGTCTCCTGGGCCGAGTTCACAAGACCTGGACGACTGGGACCGACGGCGGAGGGTTAGACACTCTGCTCCCGAAGACGCTCGCCAGCACACCCGTGCGCACGCACCCCGAGGCCCGCAGGGGGCAGCACTGAGCGCCCCTCCACGCGCCGTCCCTGCAGCAGGAGGCCGTTCTGCACCAAAGGAATGAACCGCCTGCCACGAGACAGAGGACTCTCGACACCTCCCAGCGAGGGGAAGACGCGGGTCACAGAGGGCCACACAGCACCCGGTCCCGTGTGTGCGACATCCACAGTCGGCAAATCCACACGGTCCGAAAGCGGGTCGCTGGTTGCCGGGGGGAAGGAGGGAGGAACTCGGGTTTAGCGGGATGGGAGCTTGGAGTGGGGAGAATGTTCTAGAACTGAGTAAGGGGTTGGTTGCACATTCTGAATGTGCTAAATGCCACTGAGTCGTTCATGTTTGAAAACAACGGTTTGTTTTGAGGCGCCTGGGGGTTCAGTCGGTGAAGCCTCTGCCTTCGGCTCAGGTCATTGTCTCAGGGTCCCGGGATCGAGTCTGGCATCGGGCTCTCTGCTCAGCGGGGAGCCTGCTTCTCCCTCTGCCGCTCTCCCTGCTTGTGCTCTGTCTCTCTCTCTCTGACAAATAAATAAATAAAATCTTTTAAGAAAAGGGTTTTATGTTATATGAATTTCACCTCAATTAAAAAAAAGAAATATGTGGAATGGGAAACGACACTTTGAATAAAGCCCGAATCAAACAGAAAACATGAACAAGCAGGGGTCTCACCCAGGGGCTGACCCAGCTTCGAGCCCTGCCCCACCTGCCCTGCGGGGGAAGCGTCTTCCGGAAGACCTGGCCCGCCCCTTCAGCAGGCGCTGCTCAACCCCACCATGTCCCTATGGTTGGGGACACGGGGTCCCTCACTTGGCTTCTCTCTCAGAGCACGGCCGCCCCCGCCCCAGTCAGTGCTTTGGTGACACTCCACAATGTCTCCCCACTTCTCGTGCCCACTCACCGCTGACGGACACGACCCCGGAGCTCCCGGGGATCTCCTGGGCGCCTCAATCTTGTCACCCTCCCCGGCCACACGCCCCTCCTGCATGTGAGTCACCTCCCCTTCCCTGCATCTTCTCTGGCCCCGAACTCCCTCTGTGGACCCCCTTCCCGGCCAGGCCCACCCCTGCGGATCCTTCCAAGGATGGGTGCCCTCCCTCCGCCATCCTAAGCGTGGGCAGGCAGGACTCGTGCTGGACACCGTCTGTCCTGGAGGTCTCTGTGACCAGAGGCCTGGGGGCATCTCGCCTCTGACCTCGGTCTCTGTGGGCCTAGGGCCCACGCTGCCCTGTGCTAGCAAAGCCGGCCTGGCCTCTGTGGTGTAAGCCCCTCGGGACAGGCCAGCCCCTCAGCCAGTGGTTACTCAGGCATGTGGTACCCCTGCACCCCCCTTTATGGGGCTCAGCCCCTGCTGTGGCCGCGGAGGGCTCTGGAGCCTCCTGTCTCCCCACAGGTCCGGGGAAGGAGTGGGGCATATTTTCAGGACTCTCTGGCCATCCCAAGATCGGCAGAAGTCGCCCCTGCGGGAAACTTGGGGTGGGCTGGCCACCGGTCACCCCCAGATTGGCAGGTCCACCCCTGCCCCCCTTTCACCCGCACTTGCCCTGTGCACTGGGACCGGCCTCTCTCACCGCCCCGCCCCTGCCGCTGGACAAGCAAAGTCCTGGAACTCAGGATCTGCTCATAGTAGTGCTTTTTCCTGCTGGTGTGCGGGTCCTGTCCTGTCCTGTCTTTTCTCAGAGCTCGAGGGCCTGGACCTCCAGCCCAGAGGCCAAGGGAAGAGTCCGCGGCAGCCTGGCCGGCCCCGAGTAGCTCCGCTGTGCCCACCACAGGGTCGAAGAGCCTGGTTCTGCCCAGTTGGCTTCATCATGCCAGTGTGGGGCAGGCTCCTGTGGACCTGGAGGCCTTGGGCTTGGAGCCCCCAGGAGCACGGCACTTCCTGCCTCTGCCTACAGGAAGGGAAGTGGGCACACAGACCCTCCCCTGCATTCCAGCGCCCGCCTTCCTGCCCCACAGGACAGATGGATGGCAGAGAGTGCTTGCTGCCTGGCCTCACGTGGGAGCCCTAACCCAAGGAACAGACTAATGGTGGCAGGGATCTGGGACATCTCTAGTTCAACGGTCACCATGCCCAGGGAGTAGCAGGGCTCCGGGTTCCAGGAAAACCTCAGAGGATCCTGGTTCCCCGGGGGCGGGGTGGGGTGGGAAGGGGAGTCAGTAAGGTCGGATGGGGTGGGATTGTTGCACCTGGAGGCCCCGGGGTCTTCCCCTGCCCTGCCTGGAGCCCAGACGATGGTCCAGAGCCCCAGAGCTCTGAGATCGGCCCATCCTCGGCCCGAGGCTTCTACTACAGGGGCCCCTGAGTGCTGGGGGTGTGCGCACACACACGTGTTCACAGGGGAACTGGCGTTCTACCCTGGTCACTGAGGCCAGCCACAGTGGTGCAGAGGCTCTGGACAGAGGCTACTTAGGGCTACTGGACATCTCCCCTGCCTGTCCCCAAGGGGCGCCTCCGGATTGATTGGGGTCCAGGTACGTGGGGCACCTGCTCGGGCAGGAAGCAGAGGTCCCTGACTGCGGGGACACGCCAGATCACAGCCCTCAGCCACCCCACCCTCGGCGACCTCCTGCCTTCCAAGCCCCCAGGGTCTGAGCATTTGCCACTGATCAGGCCTCTACTGGCCACTCCACCTGTGGCTCCTTCACCAACCCCCACCTCGGCCTGGGGGCCAAAGCTGCTTAGAGCAACTTCACACCATTAGGGCTGGAAAGAAGGTTCTGGATCCCCTGACCCTCCACAGGCCCGTGGTGGGGTGGGGCTGCCCCTTCAGGGACCCCACGGGACCATTCCTCTGGCCTTCAGGTCCTTTCTACACAAGAGGCCCTCTTAGAAGGGGACAAGGTCACGTTCTGACACCCTCTCCCTAAGGGGCCGACGGCTCTGCGGGGGGCCCTGACCCACCCGCGCTCTCCCCAGAGCCCCGCCAGCCCTGCTGGGGGCAAGCGCCCCTCCCGCCCGCCACAGCACCGCTGCCCCCAGCGGCCCTGCCCAGGAGCTGTGCTCTTCCGCGGAATGAATGGACGCATGAACCAGCGCGATTCGAGTTACGTAAAACCCAGCTGCCCGCTACCCTGCAGCTCCGCCGGCTCCACAGGGAGGAGGGACGTTGGCCGCAGCCCCCCCACCCCGCCCCGCGCCCCACGGGCCCCCCTGCAGCGGGCGCCGCAGCCGTGCAAGATGGCGCGGCCCGGGGGGGGGGGGGTGACGGTCCCCGGGTGCCCGGCGCCGCCGCGCCGCCCCAAACGCCCGGCGCGGTGCACTCCCTGCGGGGGCGGCCGCCTCCTCCTCCCCGGCCGTCGCGGCGTGGCCCAGCGGGGGCGGCCGGTGCAAAACACCCCCCGCGCCCCCCCGCGCGGGCGCCGCCCCACGGGCGCGGGGCCGGACCCCGATCCGCCCCCGAAACCTGCGTGTGCGGGCCGCGTGCCAGGCCCGAGCCCCGTGCGCGTGGCCCCCCGCGCGCCTCCGGGCCCCCCTGCGCGCCTCCGGGCCCCCCTGCGCGCGCTTTCGTATTCCTCCTGCGTGCCACGGTGCCCACCCCCGCGTGTGCCGCCCTGGCCTCGCCCGCGTCGCGGGGCCCCCTCCTGCCTCCGCGCCCCCCAGCGTCCCCAGGTCTCCCATCCTGCGTCCCTCCGTCCCCCTGCCCGAGCCTCCACGCCTCCTCCCTCCCCGCCGCCCGTCTCCGGGCGCCCCCCCAGCCTCCACCCTCCGCGCGTCTCCGGGCACCCCCAGCCGGGGAGGGAGCCCCCCCTCCCCGCCCCGCGCGCGCTCCCGCCGGTGTTTTCGGACTGCACCAGCCCCGGAGCCCCGCCGCGCCGCGGCCCG